TGGTATACCTCCTGTATCACCTCTGCTACTTTGGGCCTCTGTACAAAATTATTTTTGCGAAGCAGGTGGAGTAAACTACCTCATAAACAATCTGGCGCCCGAGACCCCTAGTCAAATACCAGAGTAGTCTCCGCCCTGAACAGAGCGCCAAAGTAAGGGCCACCGAAATAAAGGCCGTCATAATTTTATGTGACAATTAGCCTCTCTGAGTCCAATTCAATCATTCTCATCGTGAATTTTGTGATCTACAAATGATTCAAACATTCATCAACTTCCAATAATGATTGACCATCGAGTTGATAAGTGATTTAAGATAGCCATGCCTTCATGCATTGTTTATGTTGGTTTCATTCGTCTAGTTGCCATCTATTGTAGAATTCATATAGGTATGGAAACAACCTATTAATTAGTAGGAAGGTAAACGAAACAGAGTATTGAAGTTTTATTTGTATATTACCTGCCAATGAAATGAGCCTATCTGGCTGTGGACAAAAGTCACAATCAACAGCTACGAGAATTGAGCAAATATCAGGGACAGCTATACATACCATAATATCTAGGTATTGAAACTATAATGATTGCCAGCTTCTCTGATACTTTACTTTTCATTGGATGCATGAAGATTTTGAAGTAAATAATGGTCAATTTGTGACCTCTGATATAAAATCAACATGAAATGAATTAGCTCATAATCTAGTTTTGACATTTCCACTGTTATTCCTCTCAAGAGCTCTCAGGATGTCTATGAGCGAATGGTCAAGTATGCGAATGAATTGAACAAATCGAATTATTGGTATGAGTATGATAATCAAAGAACCGGTCGGTTCTATATAGAAAGAATCTATATATTATGTATAACTTGCTGCTGATGAATGCAGTTCAAACAGAAATTTCATATTCTACTCATAGTGAGTTACTTGACTATGAATGATAATTTTTTTCATACAACAAATATCTGTCAAGATGACAGATCATGTTATCTGTCGTGGGCAAACAATTTCGTTCGAAGAGTATTAGTAAAGTTTGTTATAATGAAGTTCTTTTGCACTGGTTTTCACTGAATGAATCTGAAATTTTCACATGAAAGATAGTATATTTAGTATTTGTAGTGCATATAGCTCTAGGAAATTGGAATAAAATTGCCTGGAGCCTGATTGGACATACGTCGATGATTTTTACATCGCTGTAAATCACAAAGTCATGCGTTAGCATTTAGAATTGGCCACACCAAACAAACACGATATAAATTGGATAACACTTAATTTATTTTCACGTTCATGTCCACAGATATTGTTGCATAAGCATAACCATTTTGTAATAGCCATTTACATAACTAATGCTGATATTCAAAGCTTCAATGAATAGATTATGCAATATTGATCACCATTGTGATTTCCGCTGCCCATATTATTCTAAAATTGATCGAAGCTATTTCAAAACCGAATTCGTGAATCAAGTAGGTCACAGATCAAGAGTAGGAGAAACATTGTTGCTGGTTAGAGTTGGACTATGATCCCAATAAGGCTTAAAATCATCCAAGTTGGAGTTGGACCATGATTTTCCCACTTTGTCATAGTAGCGCAAGGGCGTCGATATGGGGGGAGGGATAATAGGTGTGATTACCATACTCAAGAATGTTTATCCGAAGAAGTTCATTGAAGTTTATTATTATTGAAATGAAATGAATCAGATGAAAAGAACAGCTGAAAACTACAGAATATGGGTGACTCACCAGGGTAGAATGGTGTCAAGCCACGATATCATCGCTTGGCTCGGTAAATTCGGCTGTCCCTCTGATGATTGATTCTTTTACTCCTCAGGTTACCTATAATAATTATCGATGATCAATGCAGTATTAGCAAGCAAATTCAATTCCCGCCTAGATGAGACTGCATTTCGGAAATGAAAGCAAAATATGAATTCAACAAATAATATTTATAGTGTTGAATCGAATGATTTTAGGAATTGATTTGGTATTTGGTTTGTAAAATCGATCAGACTATGGGATTTCACCTCAAGCTTGACAAATTCATAACCTCGATAAACTATCATATAGTATAATAATCACTAATTATCATTTCAAGAATAGTTCAACATGTGGAAATAACACATGCGAATAATGTCAGTACATTCTGCTGTTCAAGAAGTAATAGCTTACACGACATGAGTCTAAGGCTGAAATATGAGAATCTAGACTTAATTCGCCAGTAAATTGTAGATTATCAGCATTTCACTGGATTCATATTTGGTTATTCGTCATATTTTGATGTCGGTATTTTATCAATGCCTGTTTTATGAACAACTCATCACTCATCATGAATCGCATCGTATATAAGAATACCATTTGAAAAAATCCTGTCAGCTTGGTTTGAGACATATAATTCCTCACCGTGTATGTGCGCTGGAGATATTCTGTTCAAATATCACTCCTAAAAAAAACACTGCAGAAAATGAAGATTCTCCAACAATGATAGAGCCACGTGTCCGTTTTCAATGTGGAATCTCATCTCTAAACATGTTGAAGAAACAGAGACCCTGTACCTAGCACATTTTCATCTAGTGAAAAGAACGAACAATAATTATTGTACAGACTCCTGTCTGACAACTTTATTGTTTTCAAAGGCGGGGACTGTGTAGAATTAGAATTGAGTAATGTTACTGATTTCATATGACCATTGGAGATGAAGCGTCGCTTGACTGTTTTTAGTTATCTCTCTACATACATATCAAAATACTAACATTGTCGTCTTTCTGTAGACAGACTGAACAACAAACTTTACCTGCTCTCATGGCCAGTACCGGCTCATGAATTTCTCAACCAAAAGGAGACCTCTATATACAATTCAGAATTTTTTTCTCAGGCAATTATCAAACCAATCTGATGCTACTAATTAATCATCTATTTTTTTATCTCCTGATATTATATCATAGAGACATGAGGAATTGGTGAAGCAGTAGATCTTTCCAAAATTAACTAACTTAATTTTTGTGTTTTCAAATTTTTTGCTCGCAACGGGCTCCCCTCTATATACCTCAGCTATTAATCGTGCTTGGTATGAATTAGCATCAATATGATGAGTTTCTTGAAGACGAACATCATTTTAGACAGTGCTGAGCGGTTTCATTGAAATGAAAATGAGTATTTCTTTCCTGAAACTTCATGGCTTCGTGTGTGTTTAATATAATTCAATGTTCGTCGTGGGATGTAGCCAGGAAAGTAGTTGTTTTGTGTTGAATAAACCGAGGGAGATTGTATTTTTCCATCACATAGAAAATGCGAATCCTCAATATATTTATTTATACATAAATATATTTCTATTTTTTATGTTCATGTTATATCTGAGAATATATATTCCTTTTTGATGGGTTTAGTCCCCTGGGAATCCGCTACTGTCCATGCCTTCAAACCTTTTGTCTTACCTAGTCATTCTCTTGTGTCCATTATCAGCTCCAACAAGTCCTAATGTGTCGGTAACAGTGCTTGTTCTGCGATCTGTGGTTCTGATCCATGTGACGTTTCGACGGAACGAGTGACGTAGCAGGAAATTGAGATTTCTGGCGATATATGCCGGTATTCTCTACGTGAGGAGAATCTAAATGCCGCTGGAAATTTTAATCTTGGATGTGAACGAGATGTATGTGTATTTATCTACATTTATATTACTCTTCGGTTCGCGGTTCATTCGGTCGTGAAAAAGGTTATGCGGATCACGTGTTCTCGCAGAATGGGAAAATGGAGTTGCCTGACTGACATTCATTCGTATTATCAGAGTAAGGTATATATGAGAGTAATTTTTCAAAACTAACCAACCACACAGGTCTTGAAATGGAATGATTTTGTATATGTACCAAATAGCAGTAGCAAAAGTCTCCTGAATGATATTGAAATTATTTTTCTCATTCTGACATGTAGACTGACACTTTTTAAAACTGAAGGAAGTTTTGAAACGTCTTATTGCACCTTACTAGTTGCATGAAGTGAGATATTACATGACTTGTGATGAAATGATTATTTTAACACCAGTTACGTAGTGAAAATATGGATGGACGAAATGAATATATAGCAGAGAATAGTGAATTTTGTGCTGGTTCCTCGATATAACTTTTGATCTGGTTCCCACAAAAAGGAAAAATCATGAAAATCCTCCATTTTCTCAAACACAAAAAGGGATATCCTGTTAAGTTCAGCAAAAATCGTGAGAACCTCGGGAAATAAGGTAGGAGTTGGCGTTCTTCTCAAATTTCTGGAGGTTATATGCCTCGAAGAACACCTCCCTTGGCAATGGGTTCCAGAGCCTCGCGGTTCGTTGGATGAACGAGCCTATGGAAATAGATGTTCTGCTGGTCTCCAAAGTGACGACGAAGGGGTGCGAAGCCTCAACTCGACTGATTAATCTCGCGGGGACTGCCAAGGGAGGAACAATTGTTGATATTTCGGAAGAGCATCGTCCATGAAAATATTTATTAAATAGAGTTAGATCGCCAACTTTTTTACGATGTTCCAGAAAAGTGAGTGAGTGAGAGAAGTGAACAGTACTCCAGGACAGATCGGATCTGTGCCTTATAGATCATAAGCAGCTGACTGAAAGTGTAATAGCTTCTGGCCCGAAACAGAAAACCAATTTTTTGGGATGCACAACTAGGGAAATATGGGCTTGAATCAGCCATTTTTCGTTGATAAGGATATTGAACTAGTATATCTTGTGTATTTTGTCGCTGATTCTTGGTCATGAATATTATTGTTTGACGAATACTTAAATGTGACGGACGAAGTCGCACAGATAAGAGTAATTTATTCATTCAAATAAATCCATTTTCTTGAAATTAAATTGCTTCGTAGGAGAATTTGTCATTTGTAATTTGAGCAATTCACCTCATACTTCCATCATCAACTCGCTCATCGTTGCATCCACAACTTCCGATAGTGACAATTGAGTTTTTTGTTAGTTCCCCTTTTTCTTGGAAAAATTAACAAACTAAGAATACTTTTTTTTTTTCAGATATCGATCTGGACCTTTCCGATGACAATGGTGACTTGAACGAGCTAGGAGCTTCTTTTCCACCCCTAGAGAGCCCACCGGTTCATTTTGCCACTGAAAATAACACCATTGTGACGTCACAAACGGGCTCGACTGCCCTGGTTCCCTGCGTCATCAACAATATTGGAGATGGAATGGTAAGGAGAAGTTTCATATTTAGTGGGTACATCTGCATGAAAATCTCCTTCCACCAAAACTTGCTATAGGAGTATGGTGATTGTGAAAAATAGGTCTTCCTGTAAACCACGGTTTATGAAGCATGACAAAATGACAGTTTCACACTGACTCTTTTTTTTGCGAAATCTGTCGAAGTCGAAGTTATTGAACATTCTGATTAATAATTCTGTAGAAGTCCATGCTGTCTCGAAGTGGAGTGAAGTAGTTCATATAGTAATAATACTCCAAGTCGTCTTCATAACGTTTAATTATCAAATCATATAGGGAAAGAAGACATGTTCCGGATCTATGGAGTATCCATCTTCAGCCGATTGAGAAATTATTCTTCAAAGAACAAAGCAACCATAATAAGGTATCAATGGTACAAAAATGGTAGTACTAATGTGGGGAAGAACACATTCTTGGAATCACATGAAGTTACAAAATTATATTATGAAAATTCGAAACTGAGAAAATACGTTTCATCTGTTTTGACAGGTTTCTTGAGTAGGGGCCCTGTGCCCCGATGAGCCAGTGGAATCGGGACATTAGAAGACCGAAAGACATCAAAAAATGGCAAAAAAATTTCATCTTCATATCGCTGGATTAACCTGATAACATATGACCAAATGTCAATGATGTTAATGTTAAATCCATCTGTGACAGACACCTGTAACTTGAGCTGTCAACGGTGATGCAAGACAAGAGACGACACATTTGTCCCATGCAGATCATGACAAACTTGTGGATGGGGACGTTAGAATATTCGCGGGAATCAATGTTACCAGGTGGCGCTCGGTTTTCATCGTTCCATGTCAAAGCCACGTCAAAACTGGGGGAAAACAAACTCAATCCTCACTCAATTGACCCAATTCCATTAGTGCCATTTGCTTATGTGTGTACTGACAAGAGTGATGTTTTTAAATTTCTTGACATTATTTGTCAATATTCGATCGAGAACGCTAATAATGCCTGTTGTCGATATTGTTTTGGCAGATATTCTGCTCTATTTAGATGGGAAAAGCCGACCAGTAGTGGAAGGACAGGCAGTTCTCCGTGCTAATTATGTGATTTTGTGTGAGGCAGAAGGCTTCAACAAAAGGCACATTTTTGCACTTTCTCTACAAACTTCGGCAATGAAATCTTCTCCACATGAAATGAAATTGAAGTTGGGGTCCAGATGAACTCCTGAAGAACAATGAATTTGTATTTGTTCATGCAAAGCAGGACAATCTGGGTATTGTGAACATGTTGTAGCTGATCTTTCATATGTCAATTGATTTTCTCGTCATTATTAGTTTGAATTGTTTGAACTATCTCCAATTTTTCACCCGTTCACTGTTCACTGAGCTGATAAAAATGTGATGATGTGAAAAAATTAACCAACTTAACCATCATTACTACCAACAGTGCCAACACTTTATGTCATTGACAAGTTTGACTACAGCTACAGCAAGCTGAATGCAATGTAGTCTATGCACTTTATCCATAGCGTTGATTCCATATACAACAGTTCGCTTTCCTCCAGTTTCAAGTTCGTATTATGTTACCTATAGATGTCGCCCACTTCGTGAATCTCGCGAATAAAGATATTAGGTTAACAATGCTATGTGAATTTTGCAAAAGAAAACTTACGCTGGAAACTGAAGCTATAGAAGGAACAAAAACACAAACATTAGAAACTCAAGGCATCGAAGAGTTTTCGACAATCAAAATGAATTTGTTCATTGATTGAAAGAATATTTTTATCCTTTGAAGATGAGTTGATCTGAAGAATTCCCAACAGATTCAGCAAGCTACCCTTCTGGCAACTCGAAATTTCCCACACGCCCCTTGTTTAGAAAACCAGTTATAACATGAAAAATGTATCTTGTTTGTTTTGAATTTTCATGAAATAATTTTGTGACTTCATTCCAAAGTTTTCTTCTTCTCCACGTGAGTACTACCATGTTTTACCATTGATACCCTATTATTGTTGCTTTTTCATTCTTCATTCATTCCTTGCGAATGTTTTTGAAAAAATATACGGGTTGCTGGGTGATCTTGAATTTACCACGTCAATACTCAAATATCACGAGTGAATACCATGTTTTATCTGGAAGCAATGATATTGTCTCCGTTCAGAAGAATGCAAGAGAATTTTGTTATGGTTTGTTTCATTCTCTTCCTATATGATTTCAATATATTTCCATATTGGGAATTTGGAGTAAAGATATGCTCAATCAATTCTAGTTGATACGTCTTTTCTTATTTCATTCCAGATATGACAGGAATGTATGGTATTTGTGATATTTATTGTTATTGATATTATTCGTTATCTTCAACTTTCTCTAAAGCGAAACTTCTGAACATGAAAAATATCTAGAATTTTCTTCAAATTGAAGCTCGTTGGATCAGTAGAGGATTTTACTGAACGAATATAGGTACAATTTGTTAACTTCCGAGCGTTTTCCTTCAAATTATCTTCTCTTCTACTCTGCTAAACAATGACACGAATGCAAGCGTCGAAAAATAAAAGAAAGGAGATGAAGCACTTCGCATCGCGAATGAAAAGTTTTAATTACACATTTCTAGTCACTCCACGTCGGTATCAAGGCTTTTCATAATAAATAGCAACATTTAAATCTGTTTTGTAATTGTTATGCCCCATTTATTTTTGTCCGCACTCTCTGGCTCTGTTTCCAGTTCACATTTAGTTTTTTATCCGTTTTGGAATCTCTCATTCCATTTCACAAATGGAATTGATGATGGGGTTTATCGTATTATGACATAGCTTTGTTCGCAGATTTATAGCGGCAGATATTAGGCTCTGAAAAAAACATATTCCACATAATATCATATGGAACAATTTGTGAGGTGATGGCTGATTGGAAACAAAACTGATCCGATGCAAATACAATTATAACGATGTGCATAGGTGAGGCAAAAATTCATCGGGCTGGAATAATTTCGGAATAATATCGGACAAAACAGAATGAAATACATGCCGATCGACAAGGAAATTATATCCAAGTTCAGGGGTGGATCCAGGCGATGTTTGAGGGGTGAGCTATAGAAAGTTTCGGCTCATTGGGAATAGCAAAAAAGAGAGGGATTGTCATTGAACATTCTGAAGAAAACTTTCTTTTTTCAGTAAGATTGAATCTAGCAAACATAGAAGTGTATGAAAATTTCTATTCAAAAACTAAACAAGTTGAAAATATTCCATATATTTCTTAAATATATCTACAGGCTACCTGACAAAAAATGCCCAAAGCAACGCAATTGATTTTCCAATTTTGGGAAACAAAACGCGAATAAAATAACCCATCAAATCCTTTGAGTATTTGGGTCTGATGATATTTTTTTCAAATTCCAACTTGAAGCGACAGATTGTTTTTTTTTGTCAAATGCGGCACTGTTCTGATTTGTTTTGTTTGAAACTTTCATCAGAATACAATGATATAACAAGAGGAAGGAGGAAAGCTCAAACTCATCTAAACTATACTTTTTTACTGATGTATATCATTCTGGAATAACTCATGAAATCCTTCCAAGTATAGGGTCTGATCAATTTTTTTTTCAAATTCAAAGCGACAGACTGTATGCGGCACTGTTCAATTTGTTTTGTTTGAGACTTATTTCATCTGAATACAATGATATAACAAGAGGAAGAAGGAGAGCTCAAAGTCATCTCCACTATACTTTTTTACTGATGTAAATCATTCAAGAGGACATGTTTCGGACTAAAAGTTCATCTTCAGTCGTATTTGGAAGTAACAACAAGTAAAGGCATGTGAAAATATACATATTATAAAAACCAGAAGTTGACCTACATGGAGATGGAACAGTATCTATTTTTGTAAATAGATGCCAATGTCTATCATCATAATATAACTTGATAATATACAGGCATTGAAAACGAACGGAGTTTCAAGACAATCAGATATTTTCTAGTACAAGACATTCTACGTTTGACAAAAGGGCATGTATAAAAGTTATTATAGGTATGTAAAAACACGAAGGCTGGAGACATATTATTATGGGTTCAATCATTCTAATCAGGAATCAAGTAGGAAACATTCATTCCTATACCTATAGGTATAGGTTTTGAGCATGTTTCCGATGAAAAAAAAAAAGAATAGGTACAACTATTTTACAAAAATATACAAAGCTCTAACCCCCGCAGATTGTCCTCAAATATGAAGATGATACCACACCACTATTATTCATGACTCAGCACACTTGATTCTTGAACACTTCACCGTTGAAAAACAAGGGTGCTTTACACCGTCTTCAGACGAAACAACAGCTGCAATGACGAATGGCGGCTAACGACTGAGGAGTCGAATGGGCGCAGGCGTACCGCTGGATATACGCCACTGCAAGTATTTAAGACAAGCAGATATATTCTTGAACCAATATAAATTGGAATATATATGTCACCTTTAGTCGCAGTTTTCCTGAATGAAGGAATATTCTGTTCATATTGAGCAAATTCATATCAAGAAATGTCAAGCAAGCCGATTGATCTGAGACAGGTGTATTTGCTATTGAAATGAGAAATACTTGTACCATATAATCTTTTTTTATATTCATGTGGTTCGAGAGAGCGGTGAAAAGCCACTTTACGCCCGCAAAACCAAGCTGTACAGTGCTAATCTGCCCGATCGTGCATAAAATTGATTTATGACCTCTAACTTCTGCTTGGATGTTAAAAAAATACTAATAATCTATGGTGAAAGTCCATAGTATCTCAAAGTGGAGTGAATAGGTTCATAAACAAGACATAGATGACTTTGTGTGTGTCTTGTTTATGAAAATACTAATATATTCCAATTCCTAGTGACTTCATTGAAAATGTCGAAAACACAATAAACTCCTTCGTGTGGAGAATTTCTCAGTGAAGTAACGTCTTCTAAATTTCAGGTCTCCTGGATTCGTCGGAAAGATTATCACCTCCTAACAGTTGGCCTCACGACCTACAGCAGTGACGACAGATTTCAAGCCATACACTTGCAACACTCTGAGGTAAGAGCTGCTGAAATATTTAAGACAACTTTGGAAAGGAAAACGCTTAGTTGCCATGAAGTGAGCATGGAATATTAAATTACAGTCATTCAAGAGCATTCTGTATTTACGCCTACATCAAATCTAGTTGCCTGGAAGAGGTAGACTCCATGTGGAAAATCCGAAGAGATGCTGGCGAATTCAGCTCATTGAACTATCTCCTTCTCAACCCTTTCAGACCCTCTTTTTTTACTTGAATAAACTAGGTCGGAATTGTGATTTCCGAAATAATTTGTTTACAGGGTAACTCATGGTCGATGGTATAGGTTAAACGTTTATGGAGAACGTAACCCAGAATCTTTCTGAAAATTTCTCATTTCACATTTAATCACCTGTTCTATCGATGTAAGATATTTTCGAAATTGTGACGTTGCCGTTTCTATCAAAAAGTCCTAGCTACTTGTTTTTCTTTTTATGTGGAACACCCCATATATTAATACATTTTTTCAGAATCGCCTTTCCATTACAAGACTATTTTGCTGTCAAATCTCTATACCTATCTCTATCGGTTTTCGAGATAAAAAATAATTTGTGTTGAATATGATCCAAAACATATCCCTAATTGAACTTAAGTGAATCAGGGCTCTCAATTCATGAAGAGTTGATATTCTAGTGGTGGTTTGGACAGGCTTGATGTATCCAATTCACAATGAGAAATCGCCTTCATATCATACAGGGCGTGCTGAAATTATTATTATATCCGTTGTTCATACAAGTGGTCGAAAATTCATTTTTTTCAAATGGAACCCACTGTCTTTACTCAATAAATTGAAGAACGAAGAAAAATGGTAGAAAATGACCCTATACCTATACCAACTCTTGTTAAGATTCAGCGTAGAGATATGTATCACGCTAAATGATCGATTAATCACGGATTAAATATCTGTGATTCATTCAAAATACCATACACATTACCATGGCAACACAGTTTTTCAAACACACCTTCAGTCGTTCGAGTCCTGTCCGGCCTGTCAATTTTATGAACTGTCAACTGTCATTTTCGAATTTTGTTGCAATCAGAGTTATTCAAACAATTTCTGTCTGTAACACAATTCTTCATTAAAAATGTATGTGAAATGTAGACGGAAGTGAAATCGAAGAGAATGGTTTAGGTAAGTGTTATGTATTGAAAGACTTTTTCAATTCACCATTTATTGTATTTCATTTCACAATTCCAACTCAGGACAAAATCTTTTGTTACACACTTCTTGTAACCCTAACAACCCTGCTCTTCATTCATTCCAATATACAGAGTGCATTTAATTAGTCTAATTAACGAATATAATATTGAACCAAACAATGGACATAATATAGTGAACATAACAGTAAGTATTTGCATATTTCCAAAACTCTGTGTAAAAATGAAGCTCTCATCTTTTTGGGCAGTTCATTCAATGCTAAGCATCACATGAAACACAATATTCATGTGAGCAAAATTATGCCATCAGAATAATATGGAGACAAACCTGAGAAATTGAAAACTTTGACACCTCAGCGAATCGAAGACGTCAGATGAAATCTCATTCACAAAGTTCAGTAAATAAGAAATCCATGTATCCTATGGACTGGACGCACATCTACAACCACTATAACTTATACGTGTCCCGTTGGTTGCATAGTATTTATGTTCTTAATTCCACTCTGCTGCGCTTGTGCCCAAAATACTTGTTAAGTTGTTACTAATATGACGTTCATAATACTTGTTACATAATATACTATCAAATTTGTCAACCATGAGAAGATTCAGTCATACTAATTTACTCTCCAACATAATTTTTTCATGGAATAATTCTGGATCATTCTTGAATCACGCTCGTTCGCTATTGGAAAATGTGTCGAAAAGTATCCTATAATTTCTTGTTCAACAGTTTTGCGGCAACGATATCGATCGAATCCTCTATAAAAAATGATCACTCTGAAACCCAATCGTTCCACATTCATCCATTCCATCGTTCTGATTTCGTTTCGGAAAATATTTTCCAGTCAGCCACCTCGGCTAATGAGGAAGGCAATGCCGTTGTATAATGTGATTTATGATTAGCGCGCCAACAACATTCCTTTGTGTTTGTGAAACTGACACGACACCAAAGAGAGGATCAGTCAACGATGTCCTGGAAGAGAGAGAGAGATAGATAATTTCCGTCTTTATTGCACATCAAAACCAGAAATTTAATCGATTATTCCACTCATTTCCAAATACACGTTTTCGATTGGTTGAAATATCTGTGCTTTTTTTGTCCTTTGGAGAGAACAAGAGGAAATTTCTATAATGTTCGTGAAACATCGAGTGTTCTTAGGAAGGACAGGAAGAGGAGGTAGGTGTTGGATTTTTTTTAACTCTTGGAGGTTTTAAGTTCTTTGGAATATTTCCATTCGCAGATAATTACAGAGTTTCGCCGTTCTATAGACGAACCAGTTTTGAAAGAGTGTTATTCGACATTTTCCGAGGTCAACGACGGAGAGATGTGTTGACTGGTCCTGTCTTGTTCGTTCGACTGGCATTGCCAGTGATGGGATTATAGCAGAGATTTCTGAGGAACATTTCCAGTGGAAGTGTCCATAGATAAGTGGAAGGACGCCGATTTTACTACGGTGTTCTGATGGGGCCAAAGAGTTGGTGAGTATGGCATCACTCACCAGGCGAATATGGCTCTTTCCTGGGTTGAATCTAAAAGCATCAGCGTATGTTTGGGTGCTGAACCAAATAGACGAGAACACTATTCTGGAACTGGCCGGATCTGTGCTTCGTAGATCACGAGAAGCTGTTGTGGAATGAAGAAGAATCTCGCACGGAACAAGAAATAACCGAGTTTTTGTGAAGCTCCTATTGCGATGGATCGAACTTGATTATCCTATGAGAAGATATTGCTGATGGACATAAATATAAAGTGGTCTAGGTGGTAATGGTGGAATCGGACATTGTTATATCAGGCACACTGAGTTTCGCCTTCCTAGAGAAAATACAAGCTTGCGTTTTGGTGGCGTTGAACTCGACTAGGTTGTAGGTTCCCCAGGCTGTACTTTCCGAATGATCTTCATTGACAGCATCGGTCTGCCTCCTTCGCATGTTCTTAGTTTCCTGAGATGAAATGTGAATTCTAGAAGAGGAGGCAGTATGGAGAGCACTATCGTTTGCAATGCTGTGGATAGGGCAAGTGGTTGCTCCTATAAGATCGTTGATATGAGGTTAAAGCAATGTTGATGCCAATATTGATCCTTGTGGAACGACGGAATTGATGACAATAGTATCAGGCGATACTCCGTCCACCACCACATTGAAGGATCTGCCAAACACGGTCGGATGCCTTCGATATATCTATTGCTACAGCTATAGAGATTCTCCATGTTCTTTTGATGCAAATTGCCATATGTGGGTGACGTAGGCAAGTAAATTCCCAGTTGATCTCTGGTGGCGAGAGTCCTATTGTCTAACATTAATGATTCCTGAGCTTTCCAGATATTTGATGAACCCAATGTTATTGATAGCTTTTTCCATCACTTCGGAGATGACCGATAACAGTATATATTATTTTGTATCACCATTAGGTCTACAACAATTATTCATTAGTTAAATTACCGAAATTACTGGTTGAGTGGAAGAGCAAATTCCTGTCTTCACAGGCAATTTGAACTCTGCCATTTGGCAGGCATATATTAAGTGTTCAACCTGTATAGTGTATATATCAACTGATATAATGTCTGTCCAATGAAAACATTCATTATTATTTATTATTATTAAGAGCATTTGTAGTCAGTTCATTGACATTTTTGATATGATCAATATATTGGATTGAACTGCGAACCTAATGAAATGAGTTTCTTTGATGAAGAATACACGATTATTTCCGAAAGAAATCGAGTAATGAGTATCAAGAAGATGTGTATACCCAACTGATAATATATTTAAAATATCAGATTCAATAAATTGAAATCATCGGAATTGTTGATTCCACTTCCTACTATTATTTTTTGTCATTTTGACGATTTCAAGAAATTTTCATCGATAGAAACTAAGTGATCTTGATGAGAATACAACAGATATCTCATCATTTCAGATAGCTTTCTTATTGGTATGGTGACACCAGAGAAAATATAGAAGCGCAATCGCCTTAATGATATTGAAATCATTATAATGACCAACTCTCGGTTGGAAAGTTTGAACTTGTGACTGTCGGGAGAGCTTCAAATAATCAATTGTGAATTGTTTTTCGAAGATGTATATTTTGGTTTCTGAGCTCAGCTCATTATCGTGAAATGAAGGAAGCATCGAAGAGCCAATTAAATAAGTGCAATTCAGCTAATTTTTCGATCCAATCTCTTCGACTTTCATTCGTAGCTGTGAATGTGTATTGATGTCCGATTCACAATACATGTTATAGAGTAGTTACTCACTTGATGGATTGAATAACTTATTTCATTTCGAAATTCACATACCAAGGTTCATTGCTTTCAGAGCCTACAAACATTTCATTATAACGACAAACTATTTTGATAACAGAATGTGGTTTACTTTTGCATTCAAACAAGTTGATGGTGTTATGATGTCAACGAATGTTCAGAATCCTATTATAAAGCTCTCTGAATACATACCATCTGCCTATATGAGCTAAAGTTTTCATTCATCTAGCGGCTTTGTTTACCAAACGAAATCTCTCCTGAGCTCAGTTTGATGTAAACCAAACCATTGCCACGGAACAGATGATCATGCCAAACTTGTCAGATATTTTCCATATTCGGAGCACTGGCTTCCCAAACCCCATTAGGCCTTGTGCTAAGTTCACAAAATGTTACAATTTCATTCAGAAACATACTGAAATTTATCGAATCAACTAGAAAGTAACTCGTCAGTCGATTTATCACAATATTTTCTTAACGTTTCCATTATACTCGACTAATTGTTATTCCACAATTCAGAAGTTTTGGGACGTATAAGATTATAGAATTAGTGAGATATTTCGGAG